GCACGAGGCTTCATTTACTCGTCCTCTTCGATGACGGGAGTGACGGTGAAGCTGCTGGGCTCCGAGGCAGACTCACATTCGAGCACTCCCTTTGTGCTCTCGTTACTAATAGGAGAGCTGCTGGAGAGGGAAACCAAGCCAGAATCTTGACTGCTGGGCGGCGAGAATACTGGGACGTGGGGAGAGACAGGGAGGGAGAAGAGTGTTAAAAGTGGCTAGTCTTTCCGCATTCAGTATTCAATTAGGTTCCAACAAAGATAGAGGCACTGTGCATTTCTATTCTGAGTTGAAAGTGTTGTTCTAGGCACTCATTAAAAACCCCAGTGTTTCTTTAGGAAAACACACACACACACACACACACACACACAGTATTTCTGCACAATATCTATTCAGTTATCTGAGTTGAAGGGGAAAGTTAGGTAGCAGAGTTCTGAATTTACGTGCATAAAGAGGAAAATAATAAAAAAAAAAAGTCTTTTCCCCCTTTCCCCTCTGCGGAAACTATTTCCTCCCTTCACTGAACCCCTCCCCTTTATGTAAAGGATGCTAATAGAACTTGTCTTGTCAAATGAACCGTCTGACAAATTACCCCAAGCAAGGCTCCATGCATGTGTTTCTACCGTTTGACAGGTAAACCTAAGTTTTCCAACATGTAGCCAGCGAAGGTGATAGATTAATATACCTGGTATTTCTCTTGGACTTACAGGGCCAAACACTTGCTATTTACATAACTTTTGAAAACTAAAGAGTTTTGGGTTTTTTTTTTAATATAAAAAGTTAAAGGAATACCTTCACTAAAATAGGAGTCAGGTAGAGATATTAAAAGCAAATCCGTGAACGTAAAACTCTACTAGGACCTGACATAAAATATGAAGGATGATAATGTGCTGAGCAATTTCTGCAACCTTACAAGCCACAGTAGATACAAAATTTAAGCAAAAGGGTCTCTGACCTTCTTAACCTTAGCCGAGTTCAGACCCACCCCCAGAACTCCCTTCCTGCCTATAGTGAATGTAATTAAGGGGAAGCTGCAGTGGTAATTTCTCTCCTCATTAACTTCCTGATTGGTTTCAGCCTCAGGATTCTGCCGGGCAGTAGTTTGTCACCAATTCCAAATGGCCAATCGTTAATACTAATGTTTGTGTAACTAACTGCCAGCATCTGCCACGGCTTCTTGTACAACAATAATGGTGAAAGGGTACATTAGTGCTCCTGTGTTAATTCAGTCTGTGTTCATCAATAGGGAAATCTATGATGTAATTAGCAAAATGCACTGGGAGCTGAGTGCTGGAGTCATTTGTAGAGAACTAAATCATAGTAGAAGCTGTACCGGGGCCTGATGTGTTTGCCATCAATACTTATTATGTTTGGGATTTAATAAGGTATATTACCATGCTGAAAAGAGAGCTTTTTACAAGAGAACACTATTTACGCTTGTTATGGGTTTGGAAAAGGTTTGCTGCAGCTAGTGGAACCGCACAGAACTAAAAGAACAGAGCTGGGATTTAAGAGGCAGACCTTGAACCACACCACTAGACCAACTCGTTTCAGAAAGCCCCTTTCTTCTCATGTGACATACAGATGGACAGACAGAAGGACGGAGAGTTTTATATGACTACCTCAAATACCTCCAATAAGGAAAGGCACAGATCTGAGAACTTAGTGAGTAAATCTGAGAAACAATTAAGGCAATTTCCTGACCAGCAACTATCTTTGATATTGATAGTATTTGTTTAGTTGCTTAAATAAAAAGCAAGAGTAAAAGTGTGTAAGCTCCTTTTTAAAAAATTTTTAAAGTAGAACGTTGTTAAATGTACTTTACAGACACCAAAAAACATACACATGCTTATGTAAATACATATGGCAACCAAAAAACCCTGTGAACCTGTGAAATCTGAAGCCTTCATCTTATTGCAGTTCATAAAGGCTAAATTCAAATTGTTCTATGGATGCAAAGTTCCCTGCAAATCCAAGATGATTTATGAATGGCGCTGTGTGCCCAGAATGCTATATATATATATATATATATATATATATATATATATATACACATACACACACACACACACACACAAAGAAAGGTTTTCCAAAAGCAGCAGACTTGGCTCTGACATCTTGGTCCCCTACACAGATCTGGACAGCTAAGAGCCAACTGCAGAGTCCATGAGCTGATCAGCCCACTGCCCCATCCCACCTCAAACCAGTGACAGAAGGTCCTCTGTCAGGAGCAACGGGGACAGGAGGGAGCCTTTACTGCCTACTTCCTGCGTGCCACAAATCTTAACGAAGTATGTAATGCTCCAACCATTCACTGGAAGAATTATTCTCAAGGGGTGACACAGGGGACCCCCTGGAAGCTGAAGGGCAGTGTGGCACCAGCCAGCCTGACCCACAGTCTCACTCTCCCTGCACTGTTCCCCACCCTTGGGCACCACATTTAGTGACCAGCCACGGAAATGTCCTAGTCTCTGAGTTTAAGGAGGCAAAATACCTGACCCTTGTCACACTCAGGCAGCAGCGAGGAAGGGGTGAGTGCTCTCCTGACATGTCCTGGGCCCCCAGTCTTCCTCCTGTCTTCGGTCAGCAGCCGACCTAGGAGACGCCCCCTCCCCATTACACCCCAGCCCTACACCATCCACTCACAGTTAACCTATCTGTGACCGAAAAGGGGAAGGGCAGGAATTCTGCAAAAGGAAGAAATCAGGGGATAGCCCCCTTTGCCCTCAGTTGCCTTGTGGGTGTTTTCTTGGGAAGTATTCCTAAGCCTCTGGCTCCAGAGACACAACAGGGTGTCACCTGCAGACAGGGGCAGGGCTGCAGCCGCCTTCACGCGTGACTGCACTCCAGAGAAGATGCAAATAAATGAACGTAACCTGTTTTGAAAAATGCCAGTATTTTCCACTGTCTGTCTCTGTTGTCTATGTCGTTCTTACTTACGTCGAGGCTTAGCAGCGTCTTTGAAAAGGAGGCTGCTGAAGTTCGGGACAGGATTTGCTGAACTTAGTGTGGCCCCTCCCAATAGTAGTTACAGTAAAGATTTCCTCAGCATTCTCTTGGGAGAAAAATGTCCAAACCCTATTTTACTACCACCCTCAAAAGGACCCTCTCCATTTTAATGCAGCTTCATTAAATGTTGTTGGGGGAAGAGTAATCATTGACCACTATAAATTATTTTATACCAATTAAAAATTCAAAAGTCAGAATTATCTTTTCTGCCTTTCAATTTGATTCTAATGAGCCTGACACAAGGCTAATTTCAACTCAAAATGTTCCCCTTAATTATTTTGTGGAAATGCTAATGCCTTGTGTCAGTGGGACTGTAAGAAAAGATACACTGTTGGTAGCACTAGAAATCGGTTCAGTCTTCTGGACAGCAATCTAGGGACATGTAATAAGAACCGTAAAACTGTTCATACCCTCTGACCTGGTAATTCTACTCTGGGGAATAAGCCCAAAGAAAGAAAGAATAATTGGCCCAGAGATGCTCAATACACAACTATTTGCATCACTGAAGATGTTAGTGCTTTGCTTGGGTGCTGGGGGTGGGGGTGGGGGTGGGGGGCAGCTGGGCTTGGGGTAGGGGCTGAGAGGGGAAGCAGCGAGCATTCACAGGCAATAAACAATTCAGGATTCTGCTACCCTTCCATAGATCACGGACAGGCTCCCAGTATTTCCCAGCATTTCCCCAAATGGAAAAAATGACTTCTGGACACCAAAGTAGAGACTAAAAAGTAAGAAACAGAAAAACTTGCTCATTTGATTTCTTGTATGTGTTTCAATGAAAAGTGGACAAACCTCTTCTAGGCTGACCCTCGATTGAACCAGCAAGCCCAGTATCTGTTTTCTCTCAAGTAGCCTGTTTGTCTAAAAAGCTAAAGGGGCTTTCTTTTACAATTATTTAAAAACAAACAAAAAAATCTTATACGTAAACACTCTAACCAGTGCTGGGAAAAAAAAAAAATTTAAAGATGATTCCAGCGATACTATCTATCTTACTGCACTCCCGTCAAAAAAAAAAACCCACCTCACGAAAAAAACAAAACAAAAACCACTCTAACTGCTAAATCTTTCAACATTGCAAAGACCCCTGACTTTTAACTTGAATGATCTGTTGGAAGTCAGTGGGCTGGAACGAATAATTCTCCTCCAGTGATGTGAGAAAACAGGATATTCATGCTTGAGAAAAATTTTCTTCCTCTGTTAAATGCTGTTAAACGCCCACTAAGAAGCCATTTAAAAATAAGAATATGAGTGGCACTCCTCAATTGTTAGCAGCTCCATGCCTCCATGTGGACAGGAAGAAAACAAAAGTGCTGGCCTCTGGTCTCCTGAGTTTGCAGGCCTCAGAGGCTGATGAAAAGCTAATGAAAATATCTCAAACAACAAATTCTTCCGCTCGTGATAACTGCCGTGTTTGGAAATAAAATCATGTCCAATCAACACCACTTAGCAGATATGTAATGTTTCACAATGGGACTCTTTTCCACAGCGGCACTGCTGCCCTTCTCACTCACGTCTAAAATAATTAGGATTATCGGAGCCCTCCAAAGCTTGGCAGGTTCAGTCTGTACTTTCAAACAGCATTAATTCTTGGCACTTGGAACAAGGGATAAAAGGTAAAGATATGAATGGAGATCTTTATTCAACCTGATCTATCACGGATTAGCTCATTCTTTTCCAGTTCATGCCTGCACTCTAGTTAAGGGCAGGGCTAAGCTGTAACTGATGTAATTAGAAACCACAAGCTGAGAAAAATAGCCCTTTATTAATCCCCCCCCTTTACTATATATTTGCTAAAAAATATATATATAATCTTTGAAACAATTAAATGTGTTGTTTTTTTACCACCTACGTGTACTGAAAGGTCAGTGGCAAGGTGACAAAGAGGGGGCTGTTAGGATTATGTTCTTGGAAACACATCTTCCGGGCAGTGGTAAAATCCAGCCCCCATTTTGAGAGAGGCCAGCTCTGCGCTCTGTGTGCTGTGAAGAGAAGCGGCCCAGGCCCTGTACAGGGGGTCGCTGAGGCAGGAAGCAGGCCCACAGCAGTCCTTCTCCCCCCACATCGGCACCACCAGTGCCAGCACGGGACGGCCACGCTAAAAACTAAGTGACCTTGCAAGAGAAAGAGCGTATCTATGCACTAGTAACAGTACCTCTGTCCCTCTAA